CTGACAACAACAATGTACAAAAAATAATATTCAATAAACATAATAGTACCTAAGAACTGCTGCCTGATGAGAAACTTCTAGTCAGTGAAGCGCTTTAGGATGAACAGTGACCTTATGAGAACTACCTTGCACTATCAGGGCCATATGCACCAAACGTTGGGAGGTGGACAAGGCTGTCGTGATTTCCCGGCGCATCATGCGGCCATGCGGGGCAAATTCCTGATGTGCTTCAGTTCGTCAAATAGAGCAACGAACTCACGAGAATTCAAGCAAAGGCGAGACTCCATCACGAGAAATATCAGTCCTTTCGTCCCTTCAACATTCGAGCTCGAATGGCCTAGCGCGACTCCATCGCGTGCGCTGCGTCGTTCGTCACGCCCAGCGCAGCAGCGTACGATTGTCCTGTACCCAGTCACCTGTGCCGAACGCTGTTACGCGTGGATTTGTCGCCTGTTTCACTTTGATTCTTGTGCGGGGATCACGTACTTGGTCACTGGGTAAAGCTTGGAGTTTGGACCCGAGTGGGAGTCTGTTCATGATTTTTTCCGTTCACACGCGCAAGTCTCCGGTTTGATGGCAGAGTTCTCCGAAAGGGGTGGTGCTGGAACCGCCTTTCATCCATCCAGGTGGTGTGGCCTATATTGAAAGAAAACCGAAGTACGCCAATCGAGCTAGGTTATTTAGCCCATTGTTCGCTATGGAAGATACCTTAGATATGCAAATGCTAGACTGGTCTTTTTGTAAAAACCCTCCATTTGTATGGTGTGTCGTGGTCAGCAGGGAAACCGTTGCAGTGTAATTTTGCGTGGTTTCATGTGTGGCTATGGTCGTGGGCTAATGCCGTTTGGACTCCAGAAATTTCGGCTCCGAGCTCATTTTCAAATTGCCCAAGCCACCAAATCCACTAAAAACTTGGCACTATTTACCCTTTACTGCCCCAGTCATCCGAAATCAGGCCAGTTCCTGACCGACTTTTTTCTCCGTGGGCAGAATTTGCTGAAAACTTGGCTCCAGGGGTAGTTCGACCCGCTGAACACGAATATCGCATCCGCTTGACCCGAAACCTCCTGGCGCCCGCGCCACGGGCGCCGGCGCCAAAATACTCGAAATCACCAAATTCGCTGAAAACTTGCTCCCAGGGACTCGAAATTCATAAAATTCAACGGAAATTTTGCTCGCAGGTATAGTTAGATCCATCCTCCATTAGCGCCAGCGCCAAAAATGAATGTCATATTCGTGATCAGGATGTTGAATTACCCCTATATACAAGTTTTTAGCGGATTTGGTGATCTTGCCACTTTTAAAATGAGCTCGGAGCCGAAATTTCTGGAGTCCAAACGGCGCCATGGTCGTGCACAAGTTTCGGTGACTTTTCTCGAAACGGACATCCTACTTTTCATTCGGGGCACCCCATTTTTTGATGTATTGAGCAAAATTTCACAAAGCTGAGCCTTTCAGGAAGCCAGTTCAGCGGTAAGTACCACCACTTAGCCTAAGGGGGGGGGGGGGAAGGTGTGGAATCGTAACAAGTCAAAGTGGTCAAAGCGGCTCATAATTCACTCACGACTTGCCAGCATTCTTGTAATGGACGTATGAACTTTAACTTCTCGTACAACCCGCTGTGAGACCCAGCCAGATAAAGGGTCGAAAGCTAGATGCTCAAGGGCTTCTATTAGAAGCCGTTTCACTCCCGCTAAATGGTTCTGCTAAGAAAATCTGAAAATTCACGGGACGCTATTTAATTCCTTATTTGACAGGTTTCGATAAAAACATTCAGCAGCACTTTGCAGCTGATAAAAGTGGGGTGCAAATCTCTATTTCAGGTATACGTCCACCTCGTCCAAAAAATTGTCCAGTAGCTATGTATGAGTTAATGCAACGATGCTGGGCAGTAGATCCTGATGAACGAATTCGACCGGAGGAAGTACTTCTTGATCACGCTCTTGCAACTGGTCTCACTAATTTTATAGGTGCCTTCCCTACTTGAAAATTGTTTTCTCCTGTTAATCATTGAGTTGAAGTGGTTGTCTATTTTCCACTGATCCAGAAATTTATGTGTGTCCTCGGGTTCTCATGTCATTGCAGGCCTTATGTGCAACAAATGTTGCGTACCAGTGATCAATTTACAGATTCTCTAGTTATCTGGGTAAGACTTTCTGACAGTATGTACATACCCGATTTCTATCTTGCCTGTTCATGGCATGTACCGGTGAGAGTAGGCGGCACAGTGAAATCTGGCCAAGATGTCCTACAAGACCCTCTAACCATAACTATTTGATGATTTGCTTATATTTTTCGTTTTTATTAGGTTGTTCTGAATGTGAAACGTTATGGGTTCGTGAATTGTATAGCAGTATTGTTTTGTGTGATTTGTAAGTTTCAATTGCAAATTTTATCAATCTTCGGGTGTGCGTCATTGATTCAATCAATTATAGCGCTAATGGAGATAATAAAGACGGTAGTCGTTAAATTCAGAGCTGACCTCAGCCCAGGGCACATCATTAGTTGGGGATTTTGGAAGGTGGTCGAGTCCGTACGATCCCCTTCAAAGGCGGCTTGATACGACCCCCCCCCCTAGCTTCCTTCTGATAAGGTCGAGTTGAGCAGTCGGCTGTCCGCAATAAACTAAGGCTATAACCTCTTAAATGTGTCAGATGATCCGGTAGGCGATTGTAGAGGTTGCACTGCATTCAAAACTTGCAAAATGGCACGCAAAGCACAGTAAACCTCGATTTTAGGCCCAAGGAGGCCCATGCCGGCCTACCTTGCCCGTGCCGGTCATAATGAGGATCAATTATAACGCTAATGGGAATAAAAAGAGGGTAGTCGTTAAATCCACGGTTTTTTTTCACTTTTTTTTCTTTACTACTAAGTCAGCTAGCACACTACACTCCGTTTTTAAACCCTGCTACTTATGTTGTGCAGTCACGGGAAGTGCCTTTAAAATGATGCTCCAGATTCCTTAACCTTTGTCAGTGCCCCACGGTTTAGCCAGGGTAGCGCACCAACTGTGCCTCACTCTATTCCTGTATCAGTTTCCACATGCACCAGTTGCTTGGGTGTCCATAAAGTTCGTTGGCCATTTGTAAACAGCGTCGCGTTACGCAACGCGTTGTGATTTTGCATAATGATTTCGCAATACTGAAAGTACTCGCGATGGGCTATCTTCTGAGCTAGCTAGCTCTAAATTTCCTTTCCTGCTCTTCCCACAATAAAGCAGTGAAGATGAGTGATAGTCACCACCGCCGATGTTTGCTGGACTACTACAACCTGGGCATCTCCAGACGTCAGGCCACGACCAGGATGCGTCAGCAGTTTGGTGATAACACCCCTTCTAAGAACTGGATGTCAAAATGGTGGACTCGCTTCACCAATGGAAACTATGGCATCGAAGATATGCCGAGGTCCGGTCGCCCAGCCACCGTCGATCGACAAGGCATTCTGGATGCCCTGGACGATGAACCGACGTCGTCCTTGCGCGACTTAAGCAAGGTCACACAGGTACCCCGTTCCACCATCCACAAAGTCCTTATTGAATCTGGCAAGGTGTCGAAGAAGCGTCGAGTTGTCCCTCACGACCTCACGCCGGCACAGGCAAGGAAGCGGGTTGAGGTGTGCTCCGACAACCTCAGACTCCGAGGCCTGACGAAGATTCTGGACTCCCTCATTTGCCAAGATGAGAAGTGGGTCTACTTCTCTAATCCTGCCAACAAACCAGTCTGGGTGGATTTCGATGCGCCCCCGCCAAGCCGTGCAAAGAGAAATATGCATGGAAAGAAGCGCCTTCTGTCATTCTGGTTCTCTCGCCACGGCGTCGTCCACTACAGCATCCTACCCAACAATGCCACAGTGACGGCAGAGACCCTCTCTAAAGAATTGCAGGAGGTCAAGGTGAAAGCTGCCGCCTTGTCCCAGAAACTTGCAAATCCGTGGTTGCTCTGGGACAACGCGCGCCCCCGCCCTCCCCAACAAAGCGAGAGATACTCAGGCCGTCTGGACAGCTGGCAGATGAGGTTCACGAATCTAACCGTATAGCCCGGGACATTCGTCCATGCGGTCGATTTACACTCTTCGCGGTCCATTCAAAATTTCTTGGACGAAAACAAGCTAGAGAAACGAGCGCGACACGTCGAGGACGTATCGGGAATGGGTCGGTTACGGCCGGCGCGGCTTTTGATGAGGATGGAGTTGCCCGAAGGTGGTAGGTTATGTCATGGAGATTATATCATGGAGCCGGTAAATGTCAATTTGAGTTATTCTTTTACAAGCTCTGAAAAACGGAATGGCCAGCGAACCGCCATAGTTACTGCATCTTCAAGCGAATCACGTGTTGTTTGGTGGACTGTCCGAGGTACGAGAAATTCTTCCGTGTGGTCCGTGCAGAAATTCTGTGTTACGGATGTCTGAAAGTTATTGAGTATTACTCAGCTCGGGTTAAAAACGGGAATCTTCGAAGACAGGATGTGTAGGGTGACTCAAAAGTTAGCATCGTTCCGGGCAGGTGCTCCTCCACAGTGGGGCAAATGCATGCCAATACTGTCTGCTGCGAAGCCGGTGTCAAAATGACTGAAAGAATGAACATTAGGATGTGCTCTCGCCACATTCCATAGTTACAACAACGAAATTTTGAAACTGGTATCTCAATCAACTAAATTTCATTTGCTGCATTCGTTTTGATTAAGCCTTCAACTCCCATCGCGTAGGAACCAAGTGGCTGTATTTGATCAAGAGTGTGGGGATGCAATATTATGGATCGTTCTCGCGCCTTAATTTTTTGGCTGCTTCGTTGAGCATGGTCGGGAGTTTCAA